AAGAGGTTGTACTAGAAGACTGTGAGACTAAATTCGAAGATTTCAAAGCTTCATCGCGGATGGCCTATTATCTTTTTATGCAAGGGGTAGATTCGGAAGATCAAGTTGGATGCAAGGATTAATTTAGGAATTAATTTTTGTTTATTTAATCTTGGGTTTTTTTTTTTTATGTTTTAATTATCATTAGATTCTTTAGTCTTTTATTTATTTAAGGTTTAATTAGGCCCAATTCGCTTGTACTTAGGCCCAACCTGTTTTTCAATTAGCTAGGGTTTTCTTTTAGGGTTTGTTGCTTATAAAAATGAGCAGCCATTTTATTTTTTGGGACAAATTATTATCAATTGAAGTTTATTTCAGAAAGCTATTTACTTTGCCTTCTTGTGTTCTTGATTGAATGCTTGAATCTCGACTTATCAAAGGGAATGATCAATCTTTGTGGCGTCTCAAGATTAGGGTTTTAAGGACTTAGTTTCCCTAGGGCTCTAATTCGATCATCCTCAACACGTTCCTAGCAAAACAACTTGTTCCTATTCTATCAACTGATACTTCAGATAGAGTCTTAACAAGCCCACTATGGGAATAATCCTCTTGAACACGAGGATCTATGTTGTCTTCCACTAGACTTGGCTGTGCTTCGATCCTGTTGATCATCATAGCTTGCTCAGGAACGCCCACTAGCTTCCCTTTCCCTTTGTATGCCATCTGCACTACTCTTACATAGCAGTCATGAGATTCATGTTGAGACCCTTTAACCTCCCCGCACCCTATTGGCATTCGTCAGTATGGTGCCCATTGTCCCGATGATAACAACAGTATTTCTTGCCGTTTCTTATTGAAAGGGGATTTTTCATGGGTTTTGGCTCTCCAAGCAATTAGCTTCTTCTAATTTATCCAGAATAGTTAATACTGATCCGTTCAATGGAGTATATTGATTATTGTCGCCATCGCAACAAAAGACTTGGGCATAAGATTTCTTAGGCTTGAACTGTTGTTTCTTTCCCTTTCTCTGATCGTCAGTAGCCCATTTGTGATCAGGCCTTCTACTACTCTCTCCCCGATTTTCCTCCCTCCGATTGAGAGCGCTAGTCGAAGGACCGGGGTCATGGTGATTTAAAGCAGCCACTAAATTTTCAATTCTGAGATATTTCTCAATGAGATTGTAGAAGCGGGCGAGGGAAATATTGTCCTCAGATTGTAGTTTCTTCCACATGTCAGTTTGCAGGCAAACTCCCACAATCATAAGAGTTTGAACTTAATCTTCGGGTGTATTAGCCACCTTATTCAGCTCCTTGTGGAACCTATCGATATAGGACTGGAGGGATTCATTCCTCTCCTGTTGTATGTTGCTCAGATAGCTCAACGACCTTGAGAACTTCCTATTAGCCTGGACGTGTCTCAAAATTAACTAACTCATCTGCTGCCATGAGTTGATAGATCCTGGCGGAAGCGATCTAAACTAGCGCTTAGCATGGGCAATTAGAGTCACTGCTAAGCAGCTACATTTCGCCAAGTTGGAGATTTGGTGAAGCTCCATGAGGTCGTTAAACTTAAAGAGATGATCCTACGGATCAGAATTCCCATCGATTACTCATATATCAGGCATTCTAAATCTTGATGGGAGAGGAGCAATCAAAACTTTTGGAGAAAAAGGAGACGCCTTAGCGACCTGCCCTCCCTCATTCTGCTAAGCTTTGAGCTGATTCAGAGCTTTCTATAACTCCTTAATCTGAGGAAGTGGAGTCATTTGAGGATCACTTTCTGCAATGTGGGTTCGCTCCCCACGATTACGATTGAGGAAAGACCGCATATCGGACTCTTCCTCGCCTCGGTCGGAGCCTTCGGCATACCTTGACACATACTGGCTAGAGCCATGTAAAGACATTGAATGGTTTGGGGAGTTATCTCGACCTCCACGATGGTCAAAATCGACTAGCGTTCGGTGGGTATTTCCCTCGCAATGACGGTCAAAACCATTATTTCGACGATAGTGGGAATCTCTATGTCGTGCACTCTTGTAGGGGTGCCCATGCGATGTGGCGTGAGATGGCTCATGATGTGACATACCGCTAAGTCGCAAAGCCATATATATTCTACCTGCCTCACGATTGGTATTCATTGGCCCCTTAGAGCCTTTTGGCCCATTGTCAGGCACCTGTTTTCCCTCATTTTTACTTGCTGCAGTGCACGTGGTATGAGTTTTCGTCTGTTTCCACGCTTTAGTATGACATACATGCGTTTTTGGAGGTGGTATCGCCCTGTCAGAATTGGGTGGTATGATCTGATCTAAATGATCTAACCTTCGGTTAACCGTTTAGAGAGTATTGTTGAACCTCTCCAGGTAATTCATCACAGCTAGATTGAGCTAAGAGGTTGAGGGAATGTTTGTTGTGGTACCTTGGGGAATTGGAGGCACTTTAGGAGAAGCAACATCTTGTACCCGGGGAATTCCTCGTTGTTGGTGCTAGTTCGCTCGGTTTCAAGACCATAAGCCATTTGTTCACAAGTAGAATTGATTTATCAGAAATTCTGAATGAAGAGCAGATATAAAACCAGCCCTCCTTCTAGCGCCAAACTGTTGATGCAAGATTTTGACACCAACGACTCGCACATGCAAAGTGCTAAGCTGTTCTTAGAAATTACACGTGAACGATTATAATCAGATACAAAAACTGAATAATAAATGAGAGATATGATTTTTAAAGTGGTTCAGATGCTTAAAGCGAATCCTACGTCCACTGTTTCTTTTATATATAAGAGATTACAAGAGGTCGTGTATAGCGAATAGCGAACAGAGGTACAATAACTGAGTATTCATAGAGAATATCAAGTTAGTTTCTTTCCCGTAGGTTATCTTTGCTCTGAAAATAAAGATTACAATTAGAATGAGGGTTCAGTATTAGAATCCTAAAAAGGAGAGGGGGAGTCCTCTAATTATAGTAGATGAATTCAAGGTAATGATTACAAATCTGCAAGTGGGTAACTTGCCTCTCATTGGTTGATAACTTAGAATATATCCTCAAATTATCTGGGGCTTGGACAGGTGTGTGGTCCTCAGTCACTCATTGACAAAACTTGAATCTGCTAAATTAGTGACAATCATATTCTTTCTATCATGGAGCAACGTGACAACTATTGGACGACGCAAAACCTTCCTAAACTCTGATTAGTGCTCACTGACGTAAGCTAACGTCAGTCTGATTTTTTAGGCATAACACTTATAAAGATGACTTATTGTCTGCCAATAATCATTATAGATAAAATTTTAAGAATATCTTAACAAAATGGTTCTACAATTGAAGTATTGTGGCATTGAGTGGAACACTCACTTAACACACTAAACATACGTGAATGTGAATAAAAAAGAATATATATATTTTTTTTTTTGGACTACTTTTTTCATCGATGGAATACAATTTAGGTATGGAATAAAAAATAGATGGTCATGTAACTTGAAAGACCACATTCACTTGTAAGAAATGATATATAGATAGGTAAATTATCATGTTATCACCTTTTGGTGGTTTGTAGACATTTAAGATTGAATGATTTTCACTACTAAAGTCACAATGTGTACATATTCAAAATAAAATACCCCATAAGAAATCTGGTAAGACACCTATGAATTGTTGAAAGGTTATATAACATAATTTTTTATATTTCAAAGTATGTGGTGTCTTGCAAAGGTCATTGTACCTCAGCCTAAAAGAAGTAAGCTAGGACCTAAAACGGTTAGTTTTTTCTTTTTGGTAATTAAGTGTATATTAAGAAAGAAAGAAAGGATATACAGAGCCTAAAAAAAAAAAACCAGCCAACCTACCACAGAACTAGGTTGGGGTAAAAAATAAACAATATTCTATATAAGACTATACAACTCACCTCTCTTGTTACCTAAATCAATTGATTGCATGTTTATAGGGTATGCCCATAACATGTAGCATATAGATCCTTAGCTTGGAAAACTATGGATAATTTTTGTGTAGCTAACTGTGAATCTAAGAATGTTGATTTCTTTGAGTCTATTTTTCTTAAAAAGTTAATTGTTGATCTATATTTACCCTAGATAAAATTTTAACAAAATCCTTCTAGGTTTAGATGTGGAACCTAGAAAAAGTAAAAAGATGAGATAAACTACTAGTTTGAATAATACTATACTTACAACTGAGTTGTATAATTAGACAATAAACAAATGACAGAGTAATCGTTTTACATGAATTTTTTGCTTTTTTTTTCTAGTTGTATGATTCAGTTGTAAACAAACATTATTATACTAGTTTTGAGATGATTATATCTTTCTTACTCGCTCACATCCTCACTCTTATGAAGAAACTATGACTTAATTTATCCATGTAACATAATCTATGTAAGTATAATTAATTTTTTATTCTAACTGTATTTATAATATCTATATTACATGGATTACGTTTGTTATTTAATTATATAGATAAGTAAATAATAAACAGTCACTGACAAGTTCAAACTTCTAAGATTATATATATATATATATTATAATAGTAAGTTTTAATATTGTTTTAAAATTATAATAACATAATTGATGTGTGTTAAATGAAAAATATGTTACATATTTAAAAATAATATATTTATGATATTAGTTAAGACAGGATAAATTTTATTTTATATTATTAAAATCAACTAATTAATACATAATTCTATTTAAAAGAAAAAAATATCTTAATTATCTCACAAATAATAGTATCAATGTTATATTATACTAATTCTAATAAAGATTATCTATAATATTAATAATATGTAATTTATAATGTGTGTATATAAAAATTAAATTATCTATATTAATAGTTAAAAATATTCATATAATTAAATAATTCTGATAAACCTCTATTTAAAACATATTATTATTCAAACACATAATCTAAATTTTAATCGTCAGCATTAAAAAACAAAATTTTAGTCACACGTTCTTGTATTAAAAACTACAAATTTTTATATTTAAGAGTTTATCAACCCCGATCAAGAGGGCGTTACATCTCATAAGATGTTGTACCATGGCTTTAATAATCGTAGGGGCAATTTAATTTTTCAAAATTGCTAGTTTAACTGCTATAATTTGGAGAGGTGAAACTACAAATATTATTCTCAAATTTTTTATAACACCTAGTTTTGTTGTTAGAAGTCAATTTATTTGACTGGTATGTAACAAGCAGTCAGACTGGTTAGGAGCTTTAGGAATGGGAACCTGCAACTCCTGTAAGTTATTGTTGCTGCTACTGCTGGGAAAATTCAATGAATGCACCTGCGGCTCAGGGTCAGGTTGCGAGGGTGAAAACGGCCAGTTTGGCAGGTCTGCATGTGTCACTGGCTGGACCATGCTGGTTGAGTTTACATGTGCCAACTGATCCATAGAAGTGCGTTCAGGCTCATTCAAACCCCAGGAAGTGGTTGACAGAAGAGAGAGAGCACGCTGAAGATCTGGGTGACCATCAATGTCAGAACTGGATGCAGATGCCTCTAAACCTTCACAATATTGTAACAAATGATACAACTTCTCTAGATAAGAATAAAATCAGTAGAACCAACAAATGCACAATACATGATCCAGACAAACTATCCCCGGTCATGAAGCTCAAAACGTAGATCTAGGCAACTTTAAATGGTTGCACTAATAAGAGTAAATTAAACTTTATATCTCTCAGACGAATCCTATGTTTTACTCAGAAAATTTTCAATTTTCAACAATTAATTGCAATCAACAATAGAGTTGTGAACCCAGATTTCTATACCTATACATAGAGAAGCAATAGCTGGCCTTAAGCCTTGAGATAAACCTCTTGTTTGGAAAGTTATACAAGACGACTAGCATAACTATATAGTTCAGAGTTTGACTAGGTAGATGATTAACAATGTTTAGCTAAGAAACTGCTTGATTAAATTATAAATAGAGCGTTTCTGAACGTACAGAAGATAACAGGAAGGAACACAAAAGTATGCCTGAATATCAAGGTTGTATGGTCAAGTAGTAATCCTCATTCTAAAACTTGGTGAACTTGTTCTAAAGGTCAATGATTTCAGGTATAGAAGAAAAAAGTTCATTTCTACCTGGAGATGTGATGTAGGTTTGCATGTTAAGAAAAAAAATACCTTGACTTGAGGCCCGAGGTGTACTGCACCCAAAAGACAAGAACTTATTCGAGTCTATTTCTTGCAAAGAAGAGGCATCTGGCAGTTCAGTTGAGAACAAATTGCGATGCCTATGAGTGCCTCCAGCTTTGAAGGGCCTAACCACAGAATCTCTGATTTGCATGACCTTAAAATCAGATGCATTTTGCCACACTGGATTTGCAGCATGGAATGGCACCCTATTAAACGCAACATTCAGCTGCCGTCTTCCATCTGCACAAACCCAAACAACAGGGTCAAATGACATGCAAAAGTTCAAGACAAAACCAACTTTGCCTATGTAATTCATAAATAAGTTCTGGAAAAACTTAAACTTAGAAAACATATATTGAAATAGCATATCCTTCAGTGGAAACTAGCAAAAAGACCTAAGATAATCACAAATTATTAATCCAATAAAAAATAATAACTATTGCAAGTCCACAGAACTAAAAAGACCATAATGAACTATCCAATTTTAGGACAAAAAAATAACAATTAGCCAGGAACAAACAGAGAAACTTGTATAGGAGAACAAAAATGAAAAAGAAGAAAGCAGATACATAAATGTTCATATGAAGAGTAGATTCAATATATTCTAAATCAACTAGGGAAACAGGGAGAGGGACGCTAGAGTCAGAATTAGAACCATAAAATGGAGACACCCTCCCAGGATTGAATTGGACGACATCTGGCTGTGGCCTACGGCGTCGTGCGTTGTGATCAGAGAGACGTCTACGACAGCTTCGCTTCTTATCATCGAATTCCGACAAATTATGGAACCTTTAAAAATGATGGGCAAAGAATAATCACCATAGCACTCTTTTGATAATTAGAGGGAAATTTTCATAGACACAAAATACAAACCTAACTGCAAGTAGCTGCATATAATCTTGGAAAACAAAAATTAGTAACAAACCAATCTTGTAAGTCAAGGTGTTTTATGAACAAAATAAATCCCTACAGGAACTTGCCTGCTACATTGTTGGCAAAACCTACGTTCCAAACCGGCAATAATGACCTTGGGGCTTTTGGAATGGCTTTCACAGATTCTATGTCTGCGATGGTAATCTTTAGCTGACTTGAGGTCAAGGTTGCATCCTTCAACTTGGCACCGTGGAGTTTGAGCATTCTGATTAGATGACCTAGATCTTTTCGTGGTAGCGACAGAGGATGCAGAAATCATAGAAACAGAAGGGGACTTAGAGGTAGCTGCTGCACAAACATCTTCAAAATAAGTTCGCTTGCCAAGTTTTAATCCAATTATTGACTCCCCAGAGATGACAGAAGCATCCGAAGACGAAAAATTCCCAACACTGTCTACCCAAGTAAACTCTTTGTTTCTACTGGAATCTTCAGGAAAACTGCCACCCATCTCATAAGTCTTCATTCCATCCTTCAATGAAGAATCACCTGAAGCTGAGATGGAGCTTTTGGATGAAGAGATATGCCCCAAATTAGAGCCTGCCAAACCACGCCCCCAAGATGAATATATTGGCACATTATCTATTGCTCCATCTACTTCATTTTCATTGTTTGAAGGTTGTACCCGCTTTGTAATATTTGTCTTGTCACTGAATGCCGCTAAACTCTCCCACTCCCATTCTGGTGCAGTCTTTGAGTTCCAGTCCATCACAGAAACGGATACTAAAAAAGAAATTTAAATGATGTTTTTGTCCGCAATATGCATATAATTGTCTACTTTGGTCACTAGACCTATACACGTGAACTTAAGAATGCTACAAAGTTGTAACTAATAAGAAGAATTTTCCCAAATGATGTCAAATGCAAGTAATTCTGCAGAATGGACTGGAAGAAGTGCACTCTCAGCACAAGAGATGTAGTGAATTGTTTCTGTTCAACAAATAAAAGAAACAAGTGATAGTCAATTAGATTTAGAGAAATTAAATGAAAATTTGGCATATTGAGTGCCACATAGTTGATACAAGCAGTTGATATAGACAATTCTCATGCATCTCCCCTTCTAACGTAAAGCTTAAGTCAAGGTTACCTTCAAATTGCAAAGTTTCTCACAGCCTCTATCTTTGAATGGATTATGTATGGTACATGGCAACAACTAATGTTCCCTTCAAGAAAAATATTAGATCCTCTGCTTCCCAAGTATAGAAGAGACCTACACATACTGCAAAAACCAAAGTATGAAGTAGCCGAACTGGTAGCATTGGCCTCCCATTAATATTGTTGCTTTCAGCCCATTGGGCTAGTTGAAATTTTAATCTCCCTTCCCAACAAACAAGTGAAAATCAATCTATTAGAGGACTCCATATTAACCTCTCTCCCTCCCATTTTAGCCAAGACAAAAGTTACTTACCACATGCCACCTGAGCAGTCCTGCCTCCCTATTATCCACAAAGTTACCATCCAAAGACTGAAACCTCCTGACCCCTCCAAGTGACACATAAAACAGAATACAACTGAAACATCACAAACGTTAAGAAAAGTATCCATGGAAAGCTGCAGCCTAGAATATATGAACTTTTACTGCAATTAATTTTCTTTTCTAGAATCATTTGTAAAAATAATAGAAAATCCTGCTCTAATAGTACCATATTGTAAACTAATTCAGTGAAAAGTAGCAATCTAATTCATCTGAAGGTACAGTAAGTGCCATTGATATCAAAAGCCTCTTTCACCAGGAATTCTCAAGAAAACAGGAGTCAGTCACTGAGAAAATAACCCCGTCTCTAACACAAAGTTGATTGACAATAGTAATAAACTGCCTCCCTCTTATGTATACAGTATACAAAATTGATGGACAACACAATCTGAAGGTACAGTAAGTGCCATTGATATCAAAAATCTCTTCCACCAGGAATTATCAAAAAAAAGGAGTCAAAGTAACCGAGAAAATAACACTTTCTCTGACACAAAGTTGGTTGACAACATCAATACACTGTCATCATTTCATGTCACTTCACCCTTGATAGTGATGACTGACAATAAAAGAATCTAAAAGATGTTAGTTTTACTTAAGCCTCACCCTAAATTATTCCCCAGAACTACATCAGAAAAACTGAACCAAAAGACTAAAAATCAAACCATAAACATTAGTACCATTTCTTTCATTTGCTTTCAATAATATCAAACTGATGAACACAGTCAAAACCAAAACACTTTTAACCAATATTTTCTTTCACTTTTTCTCCCATCCATGAAACTAAAGGATTCATTTGCATATGTCTTTTCGAAGTATAAAAACTAATTGTATAATAATGCAATCCAAGCATCCCACAGAAACACTTAGCCCAGCTAACCCACTCTTTCTCTACCAAGTAAAAGATATTAAATGATTATTGAAGTAATTCGCCCCAAAAGGCAAATTTTAATGTGAAATGAGTAACTCTCTAAACCAAATCCATGATTAATTAATCTATAAAAAAACCCAATTAAATAAAAATAAAAATGATTTTAATCAATGTTTTCTTTCACTTGTTCTCCCATCCATTAAACTAAAGGATTGATTTTCAAAATTTTTTTGCAAGTATAAAACTTAATTGTGTAATATTGCATTTTAATCCAATGGCACTAATTTCCCACAGAAACACTTAGGCCCGGCTAACCCAACTGTTTCTCCACCAAGTCAAAGATATTAAATGATCATTGAATGACTTAACCCCAAATGCAAATTTTACTTTGAAATGACTAACTCTCCCAACAACTTAAACATGTAATTGATTTCTCATTAATGTAATTAATAATACATATAACCAAAATCCAATCTTTAACTTCATAAGCTCTAATTTTTTATTTATTTATTTCATTTTTACTTTTTTACTATTAACCTACTCTAATCAAAAGCTACAATGACAGTTTTTATTATCATAATTAATTAATCTAAAAGAAAAATCAAATTAAATAAAGAATTCTAAACAAATCAAAAGAAAAGAAAGAATATATCTTTCAGAAGAGAACAAATTGGGGAAGAAAATGAACTTACGGGACCAAGTGGGAGAGAAAGGAGTTGACTGAGGGAGAGTGGAGTGAGGGGAGTTGAGTGAGACAGAACGTGGAGAGAAAGAATGAAGGAGAGAAAGGAGAGCCATAGATTGGGTGCAATTTAATATCGTATTTTTTGTAATTATTAAAGTTTCCTTGAATATGGTGGGATGACACGTGTGTCTGTAATTACAGAAAAGTCCTTGTCAGTGTCAGTGAGGTCTTTTATTGATGCAGGTGTAGGCTTAAAGTTGGAAAAATAACCCGTCCGCGAGAACCGCTCTGTTCGGCGGGTTATAGGAATTGGCGGGTCGGGCCTAACTTGGCCCACCAACAAGGGCGACGGGTCAGGTTAGGCCCACCTATTCGTCGAAAAGGTTGGCCCAGTCTAACCTGTCAACCCTAACTCGATCGGTTTTGATGCGGGCCAGGTCGGGTTAGTCCATAATTTTTTTATTTTGTGTGATTGTTTTTACTTTTTAGTTAACTTTTCAAATATCAATAATTCAATTAAATTAATTTTTTTTTTTGGTTAACATTTCAAATATTAATTCAATTGTAATATAAGAAAAATTAAATTTATTTATTTATCAAAAAATAAAATAAGAAATTACAACAATTATTATTTCGTTAAAAACCTTACCAAGAAAAATCCAATGGGACAAAAACTTAGTAAGAAAAAAAGAGTGCAATAATTGACAATTAATTTACAAGTTACAATTTACAAAACAACTAATTCGGGGGTTGACTAGGACCTCCTTATCCGTATCATCTATATTACAAAATTGAAATGATTTTATTAAAGTATCGTCGATAACCTCGTATTGATCCTGATGTCGCGACCATTCCCAATCTCGAAGATATGTGAGGACTTCAATCATTTTTTTGTGAAAGTTTAGTCCTCATTTCATTTAAAATTCTTCCACTTGCACTAAATGTTTGTTCGGATGAGACGGTTGAGACAGGAACAAAGAAAACATCCAAGGCAAGTCTTGATAATACAGGAAAAATACATTTTCTAGTTTTCTAATATTCTAAGACATCAAAGTTAGCTCTTTGTTGTGGATCTGCTGGTAACACTTCGGGGATTCCCAAATATTGGTGAAGCTCGTTACTCTGTAACTACATGGAGGGCAGTACATTCGTTGTTGGTGCTTCTGAAGAGGAGGTTGTGCTTCGGGTTCGGGTCCTCTTCGGCCTATTAAGTGCACTCCTGGAGTCGAAATCTTCAATTGTTTCTTCTGATATAACTTCCCCGGGTATTTCGCCTCTTTGCTAGTTCTCATACCTGTTTTCATATTGCAAATATACCTCTGCAAGACACTCTCTTACCTCTCCTAGTTGATTGGCATATGCCTCGTTTTGTAAATTTTCAGTTAATGTGTCAAAACCATTTTCTAAACCTGCTACTTTAATTCTATGATCAAATATACCACCTAAACAATAAAGAAAATGAATGGGTTTCCAATATTTTTTAAATTTTAATTCCATTGCCTATATTGGTCCCGCTAAAATTTCATTGTTTCTGTTTTTTCTAAATAAATCTGAAATTTTTATAATTGTATATATTACCCATGGAGTAATAGGATAATACACACTAGAAAATTGTAAAGTGGATTGATAAAAAAATTTAAGAAAATAATGAAATTTTTTAGCTATATGTCAATCATTTTCTACCAAATAATGAGGACCTCTATTATTTGCTACAAAATAACTAATTAAATTCGCATAAGGTAAACATGAATCAAGCATTTAATAAGTACTATTCCATCTAATAAGCACATCTAATGTAAAAGTTCTAGGAGACATATTTGATTTTATACAAGCATCTTGAAATTCAACATTTCTTTTATTACTACTAGTAATCCAAACTAAAGAATCCTTAATTCTATCAATATTATTTCTAATTTTTTTCATACCACTTTTCACAATTAAATTAATAATGTAACATGCACAGCGTTGGTGAAAAAACTTCAAATTGTCATAAAAAATAAAATTAATTTAAAAAAAATCTATAGCTGTGCTATTAACACTTGCATTATCTAAAGTTAAACTTATTATTTTATTAACAACATCATAATCTTCTAAAACTTCAACAATTTTATTATAAATTCGTTGACCACTATGATCCACATCCATTAATTTAAATCCCAATAAAGATTTATTTAATTTACATTCGTTATCAAAATAATGCCTAGTCACACAAATATAATCTTGTTTAGCTCCACCACTCCAAATATCGGCGGTTAGAGCTAGTGGTGGAAAAGCAACCCGCCCAGCTCGGCTCGCGGCGGGTTGCTGCAAGTGGCGGGTCGGTCTTGACCCGCCCGGCGACATTGGTGGGCCGGGTTAGGCCCGCCAACATTAGAGAATTGGCTGGCCCAACCCGGACTGCCAAACCTAACCCGCCGGGTTAGGCGCGGGTTGGGCCGGGTTAACCCGCTTTTTGACTCTTTTTTTTTTTTTTTTGTTTCGTTTTATTTTATTTAAGTTTAAATGTTTAATTAACTTTTCAAATGAATAATTAACAATTTATAAATGTAATTTTTTTAGTTAATTATTAATTTCTTTTCAAATATCAATAATTAAATTAAATTAATTTTTTTTTGTTAACATTCTAAATATTAATTCAATTTTAATACATTAAAATTGTAATATAAGAATAATTAAATTAAAGAAAGAGAATTGGAGTATGGAAATTGGAGTATGGAAATTGGAATTTGGAAAATTGGAAATATGAATTAAAAATTGCAAAAACTAATAAAAATTAAAATATGAGCAAATTGCAAAAACTAATAAATGAATAACTGAGACTTGAGAGATTAGAGATTAGAGAATATGAGAGAATGAGAGAATTTGAGTTGTGAGAAAAATGTGAGAGTTTAGGGCCAATTTATAGGGAAAAATGACGAAAAAGACCCCTCTAACGACTATAAAACGGTTATATTTCAAGGGTAAAGGGGTAATTTGAAAAATAAAATAAAAATTTGTATTTTTTTTTATTTTTTTCGGCCAACCCGGCGGGTTGCCGGGTCTCTTGCAAAAGAGACAAAACAGCAACCCGCCGGGTTGCCATTGTGCAACCCCGCCCACCCGGGGGTTGTTGTTGGGTTAGGGTCAACTTGGACCGCCATCTTGGCGGTCCGGGTTCAACCCGCATTTGTCCGGGCCGAGTTAGGGTTGACCCACCTAACTCGGCCCAAAATTTCCATCTCTAGTTAAAGCCACACTAACATGACAACAATGTATTTTATTTTTTAATTTTAATTTTATTTTCCTAAACAATTTTATTAAATCATTTCTAATTGCAGTTCTATAATAACTTTTAAATCTTGGAAAAAATGAATTTTTAGTAAATCTTTCAAAATATTTATCTTCGGCCATATTAATAGGTTGATCAGTTGCAATATATAAAGCTAATTGTTCCCTATATACATCAGAATTATAATGTCAAGTAGTACCCATATTAGTTATTTAAGTTTGATTGGTTTCTCTATTTCCATGTTGAGTAATATGTTTATTAGCATGCCTTTTAAAGCACTAGTACCATTACTTGAATCAGCTTTATAAATATTTCTACAATACTTGCATCTTGTTTTCTTCACTTGAACTTCATTTTCTGTCTTGTAAAACTTATCGAAATGCACCCAAACGTCTGATGTGTATCTATTGTCGATTTCTACAGCAATTGATGAACCTGTTTTTGCTTGAGATGAAGTTGGATGAGGACAACGATTACAAGGACGACTTCTAGAACCATCGGGAGCTGTAGCAGCATGGAGAGGAATCATGAGAATATTATGAGGCGTATCGGATTCTGAGACTAGGAAAGCGAGACTATTTGAATCTATTGCATTTATGTTCGTAAATTCAGGGGACTATGATAGTTTCCTTCATCATCGAAATCGGTGGGATGAAAATATCTATCCATTGTAGTTAAAAAAAAAAATTGATATAGAAGAAATAAAAAATTAAAGGAGAACTGAAATTTGGAAATATGAATTGAAAATTGCAAAAACTAATAAAAATTAAAATGAGAGCAAATTGACAACAAAGAGAATAATTGAGAGATTTCAATAGAGATTAGAGAAAATGAAAGAATTTGGGATGTGAGAAAATATGAGAGTTTAGGCCCTACTTATAAAAAAAAAAAAAGGAAAAGAAAATGACGAAAAAGACCCCTCCAACTGCTATAAAATGGCTATATTTCAAGGGTAAAATGGATATTTACAAAAACAAAATAAATTATTTAATTTTTTTCGTCCAACCCGACGGGTTGACTGTTGGCTTGCAACGGCCAACCCGCCAGGTTGAAAACTCCCAACTCGGCGGGTTGGAGGGTTTTTTTTTTAAAATAAAAAAGTTAACCCGCCGGGTTAACATATTAAAACATGGCCCGCCCTGCGGGGTATATGCGGGTCGGGTTTAACCCGGCTCGTCTTTTTGACGGTCCGGATTGAACTCGTCTTAATGCGGGCCGTGTTAGGATTGACTCGCCTAACCCGACCCATTTGTTCCACCTCTAGGTGTAGTTGACACTTGACAATCACAAGAGAAAAGAAAAAGGTAAAATATCAAATTGCTTGGTTTTATGTGTATTACGAGCAATAAGGTACACAACTCAATTTGGTAATCTTCAAGACTTCGACATAGTGCTTCATAATTGATCAGCTCATAAAATGAGTTTTATTTGTTTGTATATGTCTCGTTTAATTATTTATGAGCTAATTAATGATGAACCATCACGTCAAAAATTGTAAAAAAAAATTATGGACCTAGTATTATTGTTTTATTATACTCGACACATTGCTAGATAATTCATACTTCTTTTTCAATAATATCATGTAATTTAGGTTGTCAAGATCATTAGAAGTTAAATTATTTAAAATATCCATGTAATAGAAATTATACTTTTTTTTAATATAAAATGTATTAAAATAAATAAATATTTTGTCTTTAGTAAATTTAATATGTGTCTCTTAGAACACATGTTAGGATAACCCATAATTTTTTTATCAAATTTTCTGGTATTTTTATTTTATTTTAGGGTTATGAGACAAGACAATAATAATTTAGGAGATCTATATTTTACAAAATACCAACACTCGTGGATGAGGTGAGTTATATTAATTTTTTGGGTTAATGACATAATCATCCTGTTTAAAAAAAAAAAAAAAAAAAAAAAAAATATTTCTTTACATAATATTTTTGAAATAATCGAAATCCCACTATCAATAATTTTAAGATTTTAATATAAACAGCAGGATAGTAATTCAATAAATATTCATTAGTTTTAACGGCGCATTAATGATAGAAGAAATTTTGCTTTATTCATTCCCCCCCTTACGTATCATAAATAACAATGTACCACCTATTATTAGTATTTTGTTAGAACTTTACTGTTTAATTTAACGGATTTAGGGTAAAATGTATTTGTCAAATGACAAAAGCACTAACTAAACCGTGATTATATCGGGTAGATCTTGTTCATGCGTGACATTAGATTATAGGGAGAACGATTTTCCCACCCAAGGTTTCACGAAATGGCACTTTCCCACCCTTCAAGTTTAAAAATGACACTTTCCACCATTCGTTAAGTTCTGTTATGTGTTCCGTTAATATGTTATTAAAAAGATGAAAATACCCTTAAAAAATTGACTTTATAAATTTTTATTTAGCTAAAAAGTAAAAAAAGAAAAAGTAGTTAGTTCCACTTAAAAAAATTAAGAATAATGCTATGGAATTGTTTAAAGTTAAATGATCTTAATATTTATTTATTTATAATGTCATCAATATCTCATCACTATTATTCAATAAACTATTAAATTTATAATTTTTTTCATAATATAATTTTTTTCATTTTTCCTAATTAATATAAAAAAATCAATATTCCTAATTAATTAAATAAACAAAGAAAAAAAAAATATCTTTACACTTGAACTAATAAATAATCGAGTAAAGATTTTGACTTAATTAAATTTTAATTTATGACAAACTAATTAAAAAATAAACTATTTAAGGGTATTTTCGTTTTTTCAGTTAAATATTAACAGAAAATACTAACAGAACCTGACGAAGGATGAAAAAGTTTCATTTTAAAACTTGACAGGTGGGAAAGTGTCATTTCGTCAAACCTTGGGTGTGAACATGTCGTTCTCCCTAGATTATATGACTAGATGTAGTAAAAATGAATCTTTTTTTTTTTTTTTTTGTATAGTTTTGTAGACATAAATAAAAGATTTATATTTTAGAGATGGATATATTTAAGAAAAAGATCTTATCACTACTTTTTCATGAATTAACATTTGCTTTTAGGAAACCTCTAAAATTTTTTATTTTAAGTTTTACGAAACATCCAAGGGGATTTTTGAAAAGATTATTAAAATTTCCATAATTTTCACAATTTTTAAAGATATTTTAAATAAATTTCAAAACTGATGTGATGTAGTCAAGCTAATCAAAATTTCACTATATATAATTTTTTTTTTTTTTTTTTTTTTTGGGTAATTGAGGTATTTGGATCAGCTTGTGCACACCTTACTACATATAATTTTTTTTAGTATATTATTGAATGACTAAACATGCCATTTAGATATTTTATGCAATTTTAGAATAAAATTAAGCAAAAATGAAAATAATTAAAAAAAAAAATCACTTAATAAAAAATATCTAAATATTTTGTTGAATATTACTATCAACTTTACCCCACCTATTAAAAATTCTTCTTTCACTTTTCTTCAAACTCCCTCTTTGTTTCTCTTATAAAGTTTTCAATTTCACATATATTTTCTGAGCTTATAATATTGTTATTGCTTGATTTTAGAGTATTAATATGTTTTTAGTTTTGAATTGAACAACTATAAAAACATTCTTTTTTTCAAGACTTAAATTTCTTGATTGGGTATTACATTTGTTAAGCTTATAAAATTAAAAAAAGTCTGGATAAATTAGTAGAATGTAACTCAACTTGCAAAAATCACCATTTATGTGCTATTAATGAGAGAGTGACTCTTGGGTTAGAGACACTGTCACATTCACATTCAGACTAGAGTGGATGTTGACTTTTATGAAAATATGCCATGAAAGATTTTTATGAACAAAAGGATTAATTTCATCGTTTAATGAAACCATAAAAAATCTCTCATAATTTTTAAGAACTCCTTTACATGGTTTCCGGAAAATTTGGGTACAATTCCAATTAAATAATCTTGAAGGGGTATAACAAATTAACCATATAAGTATTAAATTTCTTGGATTTATTTCGTTTGCCCTCCCAAGATAACTTAAAGTGAACCCAATTATTTCGTTATGAAAGTATTTTAAATATTTTTGAAGCGGTTTTTGATATTTTTCGAGGGATTTTTGATAATTTCAAAGAGTTTTTTTAATACTTTCTAAACCAGATAGACTAAACAATCTCACAGGAGGAAAAATGAAATGAGGATTGATCTGTGGATCATGACCAGGAAACTAAAAATCATGATGTTTTTATTGTTAATCATATTAGCATAATAGTTGATCCAAGTGAACAGAAAAGATTCGACATTGATGAACTCTTATTCTCAAAACTATGATATGATCTCTTCATTTTAGCAAGCTTGAGACCTTATTCCTCATGTTGCAATATTACTTATAAACCTACACAATACTCTATAAAGAGGAAGATCGAATGGAACAGTTTTTCTGTCTGAAGTCAGAGATATTTTGAGGAGCCTCCAAACGTACGTAAATATTCTAATCTTAAAATGGATTTACTTTATATAGATTTTGTTTATAAACATGTAAACGGTATAATCTATACTCAGATCTTAACAAAGAAAAATAATTGATTTACCGATTGAATTTTTGTTTTTCTGCTGCGTATGGTAGATCATTACATACACGATATAGAAGAATATGTCTTTTATTAATAAATAAACATTTATTACAGAGTCAATTTTACAATAATTGATTGACTCTAACAGAAAATGAGTTTTGGAGGGATAAAAAAGAAAAACAAATGTAGTGTTGGTAATAGATTTACCTTGTTTGGTATTATAGCTCAAATGAACTGCAAAACTTAATTGAAAGATTCAACTAGTGACGCTTCATTTCTTGGAAAATATTCGATACCCTTGGGGATAACCTTGGAAGAAATTTAAACAGCTGCACCATGAAAATATGAGAATTAGCTCATCTACTAAACCGTCAAATGAGAGCTATGGTACATAAGAGAGGATGCTCACAAGCAACCACCCGAATATAATGAAATTTCATCTAAATGTCAATCAAGGTGAAGGAGAAATTAGAAACTTGCGAATCAAATATGAATTGTAAAGATCCTATCCAATTTGGGTACAGCATATTTGCTTGCAACAACATAGATAAAGAAGCATATATGTATTAAAGCTGAGGTATAAAAATTTTATTGTAAAGAGGTTTGCGATACAGCAATCAGACTGAATTGCTATTGGAGAAACATTTTCATGAGCTGGATAGCGAAATGCTATTTCTCTAATTGGTTAGGCAAGCAAAGGGAGGGGGCCTTTGTTGAACTCTATAAGGAGATTTGAGTTTAAGTCTGTTGTACACAAAAGTTTTTATTTGAATATGGAGATATGCGAAGGTAGACAATATGTAAGGATATCCCCATAACCCCAAAATTTAGAGAGTTTCCAGCGTCTGAGAACAGAAATAAGTGCACGTTATATTAATACAAATGCAATCAAACAAATAATTACTTTACTTTTAATAAGCTTTTTAGATGATATAATTGTTTCAGGATGAATCAATGGTAGAGAATAAAAGGGAAACTGATAGAGGGTATAACGTGAAGTCATAGTTTAAAATCATGTCATGGTAAGCAATAAGAAAAGTGAAAAATGACATGTCCAAGAGAATTGGAATGGGACATACCCAAAGCTTCACACATGCATCAATGACAACTGGAATCAGGCAGATAAAAATGGTTATGGCAGACTGATCAACTTCAAGACCATAATGCTCAACAATTATCTCCAAAAGAGTNAAGTCAACTAGTGACGCTTCATTTCTTGGAAAATATTCGATACCCTTGGGGATAACCTTGGAAGAAATTTAAACAGCTGCACCATGAAAACAATCAAATAATATGAGAATTAGCTCAGGTACTAAACCGTCAAATGAGAGCTATGGTACATAAGAGAGGATGCTCACAAGCAACTAACCCGAATATAATGAAATTTCATCTAAATGTCAATCAAGGTGAAGGAGAAATTAGAAACTTGCGAATCAAATATGAATTGTAAAGATCCAATTTGACAAATACAGCATATTGGGTTGCAACAACATAGATAAAGAAGCATATATGTATTAAAGCTGAGGTATAAAAATTTTATTGTAAAGAGGTTTGCGATACAGCAATCAGACTAAATTGCTATTGGAGAAACATTTTCATGAGCTGGATAGCGAAATGCTATTTCTCTAATTGGTTAGGCAAGCAAAGGGAGGGGGCCTTTGTTGAACTCTATAAGGAGATTTGAGTTTAAGTCTGTTGTACACAAAAGTTTTTATTTGAATATGGAGATATGCGAAGGTAGACAATATGTAAGGATATCCCCATAACCCCAAAATTTAGAGAGTTTCCAGCGTCTGAGAACAGAAATAAGTGCACGCTATATTAATACAAATGCAATCAAACAAATAATTACTTTACTTTTAATAAGCTTTTTAGATGATATAATTGTTTCAGGATGAATCAATGGTAGAGAATAAAAGGGAAACTGATAGAGGGTATAACATGAAGTCATAGTTTAAAGTCATGTCATGGTAAGCAATAAGAAAAGTGAAAAATGACATGTCCAAGAGAATTGGAATGGGACATACCCAAAGCTTCACACATGCATCAATGACAACTGGAATCAGGCAGATAAAAATGGTTATGGCAGACTGATCAACTTCAAGACCATAATGCTCAACAATTATCTCCAAAAGAGTCTGCCAACCAGACTCCGAATGATATCTGCAAGTAGACAACCCGTTATGTCATTTTTCAGCAGCTGGGGATAAAATATTTCAGTTTTGTTCGCTATAACAGTAAACATGAAACTATTCCACAGGTGATACCAACTGAAGACACATCAATGTAAGCCAACTTGCAATAAATGAGTATAGTAACATAAATTAACAATAAGAACGTGCTAATAAGTAGATTTCAGAAAAAGGGAAAATTACCCTAAAAAAATGTCTGTGATAAGAATAATTAAAAATGCCTTTCCAGTATCTGAAATATTGTTTATAATTTTATAACCTGTAAATCTCAGCAAAGCCACCTGCAAAATGGGGAAAGAAAGACAAGATAAGAAGTGTTAAAGAAAGAACAATACACTTCCAGCTGAGTTCAAAGTACTAATGATTACCTACATGTGTTTATGCAAAAGCCTGATTAGATGTTCTTGTGTACTACAAGAAGTGCTTAATCAAAAGCATATGTACATGTTATCTAACACAAGAAGGCAATGTCCATTTGGCAGCTACATAACATCATTGGAAGTTCATAATGTGTAACAATAGTTCTAGTGATTTTTAGCACACAAGATGGTTAACATTTATTGTCAACAAAAATTTAAGAACACAGATATTTTGTTGCTCCAACAGACCCTTACAACCATCAGGAAATATGGCCTGGTAAGAAGCATCTGATATCAGGATACACTTAAAAGTGTTGTTTCCTTTTCTAATGCTGATAACCATGAACATGATGGTCACCCCATGATCACAGTGTTGGAGCCCATGGTGTCCATTCACCAACATCACACAAAATCCACTCCCAAAAACACAGATCCAGATATAACCCAAAATTAAAACCCAAACCAGTACGTTCTGGATATCTAGTCCATAGACTATATCATTATTTTTCTTGAATACAGTTCAGTCTCACATTTTAAAAAATACTAATAAGATCAGTTTTTACAAGAAAACACTTGTACTTCTCAAGCTTAAAGAGTATGAATTAATGGAGACATAAACTGACTTTAAAAAATTAAATTGGATTTAGGGAGGATATTAGGACATTTTGACTGGGGACTAGGAACACTGAAGTTTTATGACTTTTAGGTTCTGTTTTATTATTTATCTTGGATCTCCATAATTTTTATATGGTCAAAATTATCCACACATGATTTTGCATAAACAAGAAAATCATGATATAGAAAGGAACACTGAAGTTTTATATGACTTTTGTTTTTTTATTTTATTACAAACAAGAAAATCAATTATATAAAAAGAATAATGATTTACAAGTTTACCATAATTTACAAATGTACGATGATTTTGAGAAAAATGACATAAATTTATTCTGATACTATTTTAAGTAACCACTTCACCCAAATGTTCAACCTAACAGGTAAAGTTTAAGCAATAGTATTAAGCTCTCTAAAACTGTACAGTGCAAACTAGGGCAGGTGCATTCAACAATGAAGACACTAGTGACCTATGATAAATCATGCTGGTGATGTTTCTCACAATGATGATAAAAAAAAATAAAAAAATCTGTACAAATGATAAAATGTATCAGAAAAGAGTAAATGGTAACTCACTTTACTCTGATTGAAGTATAAAAGAATGAATAATGAGACCCCAAATACCATATCCGACCATATATTGGCAAAAGCTCTACGATTCTCCAACCTCCATTCATCTCGCAACTCTAAACTGTTGAAGCAGTAACCAAGAAACTCATAAGAAAAGCACTTACTAGTTTATGTGTTTACATAAGAAAAAATAGGTAAAGAATCTGTACAAATCTAGGACAGTTTGGATGTGTGCTTACAAGAGTAATAATGTATGCCATAATCAGTATTTATAGTAGCTTACGTATTTCAAGTGGATACTTGCTCTTTCTTCCTTTTTTCCAGTCATATTGTGGATTCCTTTCTTTTCAGAAGATATACTACTTAGGAGTAGAAATATATTTAAGTTTCCTTTAATCTCTTTTTTTTCTTTTTTCTTTTTTTTTAGCATCTAGCATGTAAGTTTTCTTATTCTTCTAATACTAACACCAAAGTTAAAAAAAAAAAAATGTAATCCTTTTTTGTTGGAACTCCGTGGATTTGCCTCTGTTTCCACTCTTCCACTTTCCAAACTTCACCAGTTACCATTTAATGGGACAAAGAAAGAAGGGAAACTAATAGGTATCTATATTTCATTCATATGCAGCTTTCTGACCAAAACAGTGGGCAAATTATTTTTTCTTGATAAGAAACAGAAATAAGACTTTACTAATGAAAGAAATTACATCTTAGTTCAAGTGAAACAAAGGGCCGTGGTAAGAAAATAGAAAGAGAAAAACACTGCACAACAGTTAAGAGGTACTTAATTGTGGACTATTCATATATTGGAACAATTTCTAGCCAGAGCATACAAGTAACAAATTTTTCATAAAAATCGATACCTGCAACCACAATTGATCAGCCTATGGCTTTAACTAGCTAGGAAAAAGGTAAATCTCTTCAATAATATATCTCTTTGTTTAAGAAAAAATTATGATGATCAATCTCTAATGTAATTGAATAGTCTAGAAGGCCAAAATCCATCCAAATTTACGTAGTGTTACTATGACAAAATCATAGAATTTTATCAGTTTAAGTTTTCACATTTCAAGTGAACAAAAACATTTCACCACCCACTCTACAATAAGCTTTTAACTTTCTTTATCCTTGAGTAGTTCCTGGTAGCTAACATCAGTCTTCTTTTTGTCATAACAACTATATTTAGAGGAAAGGAAATGAGATTGTAAGCTACATGCTAGCGAAAAAGAGTGCAAAGGGGTATTAACTTACGCTTTATGTCTTAACTCCCACCAAACCTCCTCATCAGAAAGAGGAGGAGACTTGCCAATCTCAACCTCAAGCCGGAATCTTGCTTTCTGAACATTTAATTCCTTGACCATTTCAAGCTTTTGATATCTTTTCACATCGAGCATCTGAGCTGCAAGTGGTACACTCTTCACATATCTGTTGACAACATAATGGTTTTAGTTGGAAAGTCAGAGCTATACTCATCACCATTAGCAGACACAATAAATTACCTCTAAAGTTTTAATAAATCTAAAGCAACCACACCCAGAAAAGGCATCTATAGTATATTTGCACAAGAAAAGCACCTTCAATTAATTCTGTTTATTATATTTATAGAATGATTAAGAAATCCACTATTTCTTTATATTGTCATGGTCTTTTAGCACTTAAACTATATCAAATTGATTGGAAATTAAAAAATCTAACTGAAATGGTGCTCAAAAGTAAAATATTTTTATATAAGAAAACTTGTGTTTAGTATTGAAGTAATGATAAACTCCATGAGTCTTAAATTTTGGAATGCATTTCTGGTATTTGAAGGATATTTTACTAGTGGTATTAATGCAAACTGAGTATTACAATAATTTTATACCAGAGCATAATCATAACAACTTCTGCAAACTGCCGTTGCATATGCTAATTGTAGTCAAGTTGGAGGGTAATTCAGTTTATCCAAGTCTAGTGGTTGGTATAAGTGTAAAATGAATGTATCCATGGCTATTTAATTTGAAGTTGGTGTTGCCAGTTAAATCGGAGTCATAACGTAAATGAAGTAAGAAATAAAGAAACACTCACTTCTTCAAAAATTTTCTCAGTTATGATAGACTTAAAATGAATCAAGGATTTCTTATTCCAAATCTGAAGAATATCCAAATATCTATCTGCATGAAGCATGATTCTACCAATTGTTTCATTCTTTACTCTTCTAGGTTCGAGTAAGCCTCAGTTTTCAAAAGAAAACATTTTGCTTGTAGTTGATTAGTATGCAACTTCCAAATGGGATGGTGTGTTATCCAATATGTTTATCATTTGCTTGCTACAAAGAAAATCTAGTGACTATCAAAGGGAGATTGATAATATGCACTTCTCCTCGAGGAAACTAGTAACTCTGAAATTGTGACTACCAATTGAAATTCTCTAATGTAGGCTACAGCTTCAGTACGAAATTAAATGGTGGCAAAGTTTTAATTTGCTTCACACATTTACTAGTTCAGGTTCCAGCAATCTTCAACAGGCTAGGTGTCGGACCCTTGATTAAAAAGTTCTGTGACACTAGGCCTGGTTGACTATGAAAGTTCGAAATAAATATTTTCCCTAATGAAGTTGAATTGCTAACTGAACCAACATTGTGAGGTGGTCTGAACATAACAGTTTAAAAAAAAAATATATTTCTCTTTTCTAAGTGTTTTCAATATTTGCATTTTTCAATTTCTATTTTCTATCTTTTTCAACAGTACAGCCCAACAAATATATACACGCACTACAATTACATATATACCCTTGACTACATATATACATGGTTTCCAACACTCCTCCTCAAGCTAGAGCATATATATCTATTATGCCCAGTCTGTTACAAATATAGGTTACTCTTTTGCCAACTAGAGACTTCGTAAAGATGTCAGTTAGTTGTTCTCCTGTTCTAACATGATTAGTAGTAATTAGCTTTTGTTCAAGTTTCTCTCGCACAAAATGACAATCCATTTTTATATGCTTAATCCGCTCGTGAAAGACTAAATTGTTTGCTATATGTATAACTGCTTGGTTGTCACACCACAAGTCCATAGCCCCTAAATCACCAAACCCAATTTCTTTAAGAAGATGTCTTGTCCATATAAGCTCACAAGTAACTTGTGCTATAGCTCGATACTAGGACTCTGCACTTGATGTAGCTACAACTGGTTGTTTCTTACTTTTCCAAGAGATAAGATTTCCTCCAACAAAAACACAAAACCCAGTCACAGACCATCTATCCACATAGGATCCTGCCCAATCTAGATATAAAAATCCTTCTACCTTATTATGACCGTGATCACTGTAAAGAATCTCATGTCCAGGGACTCCTTTTAGATACTTCAAAATATGAAGGACTGCATTCCAATGAGATGTCCTAAGAGATGACATAAATTGATTCACCACACTCACTGAAAAAACAATATCTGGACGGGTTACTGTAAGGTTGTTCAACTTTCCAACTATTCGTCTGTATTTCTCTGGATCACTAAACATCTTTCCATCCTCAGCATTCAATCTCATATTAGGAGCCATAGGAGTGTCACAAGGCTTGGCCTCAATTAGGCCCATTTCAGTCAACAAATCTAACACATGCGTTAAGAGAGGAAAATCCCTTTCTTACTCCGAGAAACCTCGACTCCTAGAAAATACCTTAAAGTGCCCAAATCTTTTGTGTGAAATTTGGAAGCCAAAAAGTTTTTCAAACTCTGAATGCCAACATCATCACTGCCAGTGATTACAGTGTCATCAACATAAACAACCAAAAGAATGATGTTAGAACTAGATTGCTTATAAAAGACAGAATGATCATAAGCCTCCCAAACTAAGCTCGTGTAGATTGTTTTAAGCCATATAAATATTTCCTCAGTTTGCATACCTTTCTTGACTCCCCCTGAGCAACAAACCCCGAAGGTTCCTCCATGTAAACCTCTCAAGAAGATCACCATGTAAAAAGGCATTTTTTATGTCAAGTTGATGAATAGGCCACCTATATGAAGCTGCAAGTGAGATGAATAGCTGGACATAGGTCATTTTAGCCACTAGGGAGAATGTCTCAGAGTAATCAATACCATACGTCTGGGCATAATCCTTAGCAAACAACCAAGTTTTCAACTGAGCCACAGACCCATTGGGATTAGCCTTCACTATGAAAACCCATTTGCACCCAATGACCTTTTTATTTTCAGGTAAATCCGTTAAAACCCATGTATCATTATGCTCTAGAGCCAACATCTCTTCTTCCATAGCCCTTCGCCACCCATCATGAGTAATTGCTTCAGACATAACGCTGGGAATAGACACAGAGTCTAAAGAGGCAATAAAAGACTTGGAAGACAAAGACAAAGAGTGATAGGAAACAAATGAGGAGATAGATTGGTACAAGAGCACTTACCTTTACGAAGAGCAATGGGAAGATCAAGGTCAAGGGTAGGAGGAATCAGATCTGAGGGCGAGACAGTCGATAGAGGCAGTGGATCATATGTTGATACAAGTGCCTCATGGTGCTGGTGAACCCTGCGAGAGTATACCTGGGTGATAGGAGGACAAGATGGTAAAAGACTATAATGGGTAATGTTGTAAACAAGAAAATCACCAGGGGGTGCTTCAAGAGAGGTAGATGGAATGGAAGATTCAACATATGGAGTGGTTTCAAAAAAGGAAACATCAGCTGAGACAAGGTACTTACCTAGGCAGGAGAAAATCAACGATAACCCTTCTGATATCGGAAATAACCCAAGAATATGCACTTGAGAGATCTAGGTTCTAATTTGGAGACATGGGGTCTAACATCTTGAACAAAGCACGTGCACCCAAATACTTTAGGAGGAAGAGAGAATAAAGGCTGAGATAAAAAAAAGATGGAGTATGGGATTTGACCACCCAAAACAGATGAAGACATGCGATTGATCAAGTGACACGCAGTAGAGACAACATCTGCCTAAAATTCTGTAGAGACTTTCATGTGAAAGAGGAGAGTACGAGCAACTTCTAATAAATGACGATTTTTGCGTTCAACAACCCCATTTTGTTGAGGTGTAGATACACATAAAGATTGATGAATAATACCTCTAGTAGACAAAAAGAAGGAGAAAGGTGCAGAAAAGTATTCTTTGACATTATCACTTCTGAAAATTTTAATAAATGAAGTAAATTAATTTTGTATTTCAGCATAAAAGGTACAAAATATGGAGAATAATTCAAAACGATTTTTCATAAAGTACAACCAAGTCACACGTGAAAAATCATCCACAAAAGTAACAAAGTATCGATATCCAGACTTAGACAACATAGGGCAAGGACTCTAAACATTAGAGTATATAACATCAAAAGGGGTTGTGACTCTTTTGTTTATCCTAGGGCTATAGGACACTCGATGGTGTTTCCTAAACTGACACGCCTCACACTCAAGTTGTGACGTTGACCCTACACTAGAACACAGCTTTTTCAAAATGGGAAGGGGAGGATGACCAAGGCGACCATGTAATATGGATAGAGATGAATCACTGGTACACGCAACAAGTTGAGGGACTGGAGTCGAAACATCATCGAGCATATACAGGCCACCTGATACATGACCCCTACCAATAATCTGCCTCGTCCCAAGATTCTGAAATATACAATGAGTAGGAAAAAAATAAACACAACAGTTGAATGCATTAGTAATTTGACTAACAAATAATAGGTTAAAGGGAAAATGAGGAAGACACAAAACAGAGGAGAGAGACATAGATTTGGTGAGATGGGCGATACCACATCCAATAATAGGTGCAGTAGACCCATTAGCTAAGGTAAAGAAGACAAATCGGAAGAAGGTGAAAATGAGAAGAGAATACCTGTATCGCCCATCATATGGTGAATAGCACCAAAATCAATGATTCAGTTACTATTAGAAGTGGACAAACATGCTGTAGGATTACTTAACTGGGTTAATGTAGTGGTGGTTGATGGGATGGATGACTAGGAGCTAGAATGCTGAGTGAGGCGAGCATATTCAGCTCCAAAGTTAGTAACCTGTGATAGGGTTGATAAGAGACCATCTTGAGTTGCAACATGAGCAAACTTCTAAGTACCTTGCATATTCGGGGGCTTCCCATGGAGCTTCCAACAATTCTTCTTTACATGACCCCCAACACCACAGTGATAGCAAATACGAAGGCCATTACCACGATTGTTTCTAGTATCACGACTTACCCCTTTGTTGCCTTTGCCATTACTAGGCTTCATGCTAGGTAGGGCCGCATGATCTACATTAAGATCCTTAAGGATTTCTTTGTCCTTAGAAACTCCTTGATCTTCACCCTTACTAACTCTGAGAAGTCGAGCAAAGACATCTGTAAGAGAGGGAAGTGTCTCGCTGGTAAGAAGCTGTGTACGAGCTATCTCGTATTCTGGTCTCAACCTAGCCAGAAAACATTGCACTACCACTTGTTCTTCTTGTGCTTGCATCATCTTCACATCAGTAGGGACAGGAAACATAGCCCTTTTTTCTTCAAAGGCTTGTTTTATCTCTATGTAATATTCGAGCAACGTTTTCTCTTGCATATTTGCCCGGTAGATCTTCAATAACAATTTATGGGCATGAGACAAGTCTTGTTTACTAGCATACAAGAACTCTAGATACTCCCATAACTCTTTAACGGTATCACAATGACTAGTCACATCATCCGCGGACGAATCGAGAGTGTTTTAAATCTGATTGAAGAGCTTATCATCTTCCATGAGCCATTTTTTTTCAAGTTTTACTATCACTTTTTGTTTCCTTAGGTGGATCCTCGATTAAATGGTCTCCCATGTCAATGTTGGACACATATCGTCGGATAATCCATTTCCATTGAATATAATTCATTTCTCCCAATAACTTCTGATCAGTGATTTTGGTGTAGGAAGTGACAATTTCAGTCACCATCTTCTTACCGTCCTCTGCCATATTGTCTAGCAATTGACAGGGTCAAATACCTCCCAACTCCACAGATTCACAACAACCTCAACACCAAACAACCCAAGCAAACACAAATGCACCCCAATCTTAAACAACCAGAAAGAAACCAACCACTTTCTTGTAAAAGGAATCACTGGGAACAACAGAGAAGAGAGAAACCAGAGGAGAGATTGTTGGCCACCGGAAAGAGCAAAGAAATCATGTCGTCGAAGGAAGCAAAGGGATTGCGTCGCTGGAAAGTCGAGATGAACAGAGAGAAACCATAGAAAAAATCGCCGGAATGAGCAGAAGAAAGGGACAAGTTAACTAGAATAGAACCAGCATTCGTCGGAAAGGGAGAGGCTGAGAGCAGAAGTCGCCAGAAAGGGAGAAACCAAGAACAGACGTCGCCGGAGATAACAAAGGAGGCCGAGGGTTCGTCGGACAGATTCAAACGTCGTTGGAGAGTGAGAAACCATGAACAGAAGGTTCGTCGGAATCGTCGGCGGCCGGAAAACAGAAACGTAGAAACGAGTTTTAGGGTTTAGTCCGGCTCTGATATCATGTTTTCAATATTTGCATTTTTCAATTTCTATTTTCAATCTTTTTCAACAATACAACCTAACAAATATATACACACACTATTATTACATATATACCCTTGACTACATATATACATAGTTTCCAACACTAAGGTGCACTGAACATAACTCTAGAATAGCTTTTTACATTGGAAAAAAAAAAAAAAAAAAGGCACTAAGCTACATCGTAGCTTCAAAATTTCTACAAATTATTAACGATTAAAATTTCAAAGCATCCAGATTAATAAAAAAAATAAAATAAAATAAAATATGAAAAGAAATGGAAGACACAAAGGAGCCGAAAGAGTCACCCGAACCAAGATCTAGAAGCAAACATTCATCAAAAGTCTGGCTGAATTCACCACACTTTTTGCTACAAAATAGCAATATTGTCAACCAAGCTTTTGGGATCTATATTTACCAAGAAACATACTATATTATTTCTCTCTAATACAGTGTAATGCATCAGTTCTTCATTCATTATCGTCCTTCTAACATGATTTTGCCATTTATATTTCTTTTGAAGCTTGAAAACTAAAGCCCATTACTAAAACTAAAATATTGATGAATCTAAAAGGGGTCAAGTCCAGTAGATAAATGAGTATTCAGAAACAATGTCCAAAACACCAACAAAAACAGTGATAAAGGATGCTCTGGAACTCATTCCCTCTGTAATATTCTAGCAAAATAATTGTACAGGTGGCTGCGAAAGTGAGATTAATCAATAGAACTAAAAGACTTAGCTTTTGTTATTTATGGCCGGGATCCTACTTAGCTGTTTCAAGTTTGGAGATATTTAGAGGGAAATCGGAAACATTGTGTGACAATTAAGGGGATAAACTTATTCATAAAATTTCTAAATTATTACTGGCATCAACAAAAAAGTACGTTGTGCAGTAAAAAGACAAATAGATAGAACCATTCAACTGTCTTATAACAGCAAAAAGAAAATTCTTATCCAAAATATTGTTCCACACAAACTAATAACACACAGAAATCAGGCAAGAGAATAGTTCTAATATTTTGTTAGAGGCATGATTACCGGCAAGTCACTTGAACTAGACTATTCTGTTCAATGATTACCTGTCTAAAAAAGGCATGAGAACATAGTCATGAACCACAAAGTCCAAGGCCCATGGAATAATTATCAGTACTGCCAAAAATTTAGCCTGAAACAGCAAGAACAAGTATGGCTTAGGTTCTTTAGTCATAATCTAGAATTAATTATTCAAAAAGTTATCATCAAAAGCAATATACAAATACAATAGTAAAACAACTACATGGTTGCGGTGAGTATTCAAATGATTCAAAGTCGAAAACATGAAATGCAATAAACAAAAATGGAGCAATTGAAAATGTTCATAAACACTTCCAATTACTAATTATTTGCTGTATTAGAATTATCCATGCCATGATGCTAATGGTGGAATATAACTTGAATTTGCAAGATTATAACACAACTACTCATAACAACTTACTGAATTCAAGGAGGCGTATCGAAAAATGCGGTCCTCATACAAAATATCATCCTCTTCTTTCCCAAAAACCAAGTTCCTCACAGACTCAACCAACCCCCTTTCAGGAAACAACTCACTGGGATCCAAACGCGCTTCGTCCTTCCCTTGCCAAACCCCATTACCCAAATCTTGATTCCAAGATTCATCAGCACCATTTCCATGATCATCCACAATCCAATCCTCCCACCTCCTACTCTCTTCATTCCTCATATCTTCTTGAGCTTCCCTCAACTCGATTATCGCCTCCGCCCGCCTCTTCCACGCCTCAAACTTCTCACTCTCTGATAACTCCTCATCACTAGAAACATCAGCCTCCTCTTCAAACATATCATTATCTTTCAAACCAAGCCAATTTCCATCATCATCAAAAAAGAACCTTTGCCACCAACTTTTATTTCTCTTGGAATGGTTATTATTGTTTTTAGCATTTGGGATAAACCCACAAAATCTTTGTTTCTTAGCACTCCATCGAATCGAAGAACAGGAGGAATTGTGCATGTAAAGAAAGTTTCTACAGTGGTTTGAGTTAATAAAGATAAAATTTTGACATAAGACCAATGAAGTGCTCATTGAGAACATGTAAATAGCAACCCCACATTTTTCAAGCCCTCAAGAAGTAAGTTGCTGATACAGTAAGCAGAAAAACGAAACCAACATTCTTGAATCAAAATCAGTTAAGAAATTAAGAGATGGTTCATGACAACCATAAACTTAAAGCAAGTAAGGAAACATGCAAAAGCTAAAAGAAGCAACTATAAGTGTTGGAGGAGAATAGCTGGAGTTTAGAGCTAACCTAAAGGGACGTGTTTGGACTGTAACTAAGAATTCCAGAGGGAAGTGGATAACGGGTTGGGAGCATTTTTTTTAATTTCATTTTTCTAATTTTCTCCCTATCCTTTGCTTCTATTTCAAATTTTGCCACTTCCTTCTAATATTTACCTTTTTGTTAACTTGATGACTCAAATTAATGGGACGTGGTCCCCGTTGTAGTTTCTAAACTCTAAAGTTCAACAGAGTTACCAATAATTTCTCGAGTTTTAATGGTGTTATAAAATTTGTTGCGCGAGAGTTTACCATAAGCTCGAAATCAGTGATAGTTTTGAGAAAGTGAAGCAGCGAACTAAGTTTGTTATGGTGAGTTAAATGGATAATTACCTCACAAATCATCATGTAATTTTGATTTAACGTGATTGAGTTAATCTTGTTGGATTAACTTCAAATGATTGAGCTATAATCTCTATAACCTCTCTATAAACAGTTATCAAATTTATGTATAAATACCCTAAAAAAATTCATTCCAAAAGGTTAACAATTTTAACGAGATTAAGCTTATTTTTATACTCAAAGTATTAAGATAACAAAAAATAAGACTTAAGTTTGAACTTGTAGAATCACTTTAAAATTGTTTATGTCATTTATTTGTTTCTCTTTGTTGATTTTAATTAATTATGCATGCATCCAATTTGATTCCATCAAAATCAATCGGTTTAGTTAGTTGTTGTGTATAAAGGTAACAACAAAATTAATTTTATAAAATGAAATATTTTCAAATAATTTTTGGTAATTTGAGGGGGATATTTTTTTTTTTGGTTTTTATGCCGACTGTGTGTATGACACTCACCAACAGCAGTCCAATGACATAGGTCGGCTCTCTATTTTTAAATTTTATTTCTTTTTAAAATTATAATTTACGTTAATAAATTATTGTTTTTAAATATTTATCAAAACTTTAAATAAATTTAATAATTATATTGAAAAAAAAGGTCACTTTTGTCATATATATACAATAACAATTTAAAAATCTTTTTTTTTTTTTTTTTTTTACATTTAACATTATCCGTTAGAAAATCAAAGCAATTTTGAATTAAGTTTACAATTTTTTCTTTTTTTTAAATTGATTAAACTTAAAACTGCAGATGGAATAATCTCAATAATATAATAATAAAGATATTGAGGGGTATTATAGTCTTACCGTGTAAAAAGGTTTAAAAACGATGACTGGGTTGGGGTTTTCGTTTTTCCTTGACAGAAATTAAAGGTTTTAGGCTACAAGGTTCCTCACACGCTGGCCCTATTGGAACAGTCTCTGAACCTCCTTCTTCCAACCAAGAGGAGCTGTCGTCTTCCACCACACAGTAATTTTCGTTTTGTTTCTTAAACTACGTCGTTCACCTGCTTCAGCCGTGTCACCAGCCTCGGCTGCCGCTAACGGTAATCTCTTTTATAAAGTTATTATCTATCGTTCACGAATCACGTTTTTTAATTGTTCCAGCAAATTCTTTATTTTAATTAATTTGTGACTAGATATAGTGTGGATTAGTGTCTCTATGTTTATCAGGAAGTAGATTTTATTATTCTTTTCTTGGTGCAAACTAAAATCCCTAATATCAACAACCATAAGATCTGACTTAGGTTTGGGAGATTTTAAGTGTTTACAAAAGAAGTCAGTGGTGGGAATGGTTGTTTCCAACAAGATGCAAAAGTCAGTAGTGGTGGCGGTGGACAGACTGTTTCACCAAAGAAGTATAAACGTTATGTCAAGCGGACTTCCAAGTTCATGGCTCACGATGAGCAACAATAATGCAACATTGGTGACGAGTGAGTATTAATCTCATCATATTTGTTATTCATTCTGTTGCTGAACTTGATTGAGTTCTAATGGTGTTATCATCTTGGGGTTTTGCAGGTTCAGTGGGATCCTTCTAGGCCATTGAGCAAGCGTAGAATTGGGTTGTTGCTGAAATTCTTAAGAAAGCACGAATCATGTACTGCCATCAGCAAATACTGCGCTGCTTCAAGTGACAAAATAAAGCTTCATCTTCAAACGTAATAAGGTAATTTAATACCTTGTCTTTGTTTTGTATTGAGATGTGAAACAGTAGTTTGTAAATAAATACACAAATGTTCTTGTGAAGTTGCGGTGTGAATCATTTGACTACATGGTTTATATTGGTTGTGAGCCGAGTTCTGTGAAGTTATCTGCATCTGTTATGTAATGTTCTGTCAAGTCATGTCTGAGTGATAGCAACCATGGTTTGTGTTAAATTTTGTGATTGATGTTTGGAGATCATGGTCATAGAATGCCCCTGGAGTGTGAGAAATTTGGTCTTATGTTGTTAGCCTTAAAAGCCCCAAGTTCGAATATAATTTCATTATACTATATGTTTCATTGAGAATTTTGACATGGACTGTTATAATTGGAAAATTGCACTCTCAATAGGAATGCTATGTAGAGAAAGAGCATGGAATTGTGGGACAGTGTCCGTCTCAATTGGTACAGATACATAGGAACGCTATGTAGAGAAGAGCATGGAATATGGGAAAATTTCTGAATATTCAATATTTGGTCCTTTAGATTTGTGTCTTCAAAAGTCGTGCTAGTCAGTTTTTATCACCTCACCATCTTGAAACTACCAATCATCTTATGGGTTTCATCTCTTTTGTACGAGGTATCATGGTATCTTTGTCTTGTTATTTAAAAGTGTTGTAGATGGCTCTTAGGATTATTTGACTTGAAATGGAAATCCTCTATCTCCTGTTCCAGTTGCTTTTCTGTCAAGTGCTTCATTATTTAACTGAAAGAACAGCTCATTAGTTGTTAGTTGTTGTGTCAACTTCAATACCAATTGCATTACCGATTGGTTTACTTTGGTTTACTAGCTTCGTGAAAAAATGCCAGGATGTTCTTTTGTGGTTTTGGAAACCTGTTTGGTTTCTGCTAAAAACTGACCTGGAACATGTACGTCTTAGTCTTCTTTGCCTTGGCACTAAATAAGAAAAGGTATCAAGTCAATACCCTTTTACTAATAATAGTAATCATTAAGATTATAAAGAATCATTATCAGTTTAAATCTTCCAAATATATTATTACTCTTATGCCCAAAGTATGAAAAAAGCTGAAATTGTGTGGGTTAATGCGAATCTCATATGATAATGAATTTGGTAGGCATTGTTATTGGGGGACAAACTTCTTATTGCTTGATTTGTTTGACTAATTTGTATATATTATGAATTGATAGAATAAGACAGTTAAAAAATTGCAACTCAGAAATTCTAGTATAGTAACTTTGAGAAATGAAGATAACAGTGTAGTATAGTGGGGATGCTGATTTGTCGTCTATGCCATGCTAAGTGAGGAGATAAACAAACTAGTTAACAGTATGTAAATGCTCCTGTAACAAGTGGCATAAAAGATTTTGGTGATGTAGGAATACTACTGCTTACAAATTGATTTCTATTTTTTTTTTTTTTTTTTAAATTTTTTGCTGTCAAAGCAGCAATGTAAATATAGTTGGGACTTTTAATTGCTGTAATGACCTGGTCAGTTTTACTCGGCCAGTAAAAGTTAGAATTATTCCCTTGCAGTTGGAGACCTATTCAGCTTCAGTAGATGTCACCCTGATATTGTTTTGCTTTATTTCAACAATGGACCATGCTATATTCGAGACATACAGGAGTGTGAAGACTTGGATGTCGATTGCAATTTCATGAATGGCTGTGAGCAGTAATGCATGCTGGGCTGATACTGAAAGAGTTAAGCTTCTGCTTCCATTTGTTTTGAATATGAATATTTTTGGACAGATGAACCTTTCAGTAGCTATGCGCTTAATAAAATGCGTTAATTTGTGCTGGAACTTCTTGTTAGTTCTTTGGAAAATATCTGTGCACAGATATTGTTTGTTTTATTAAAGTTAGTTTCAGTGACAATGAAGTTTGGTTCTTTTTCCCGTGCAAGTGGAACATCAGCATCCATGCTGGCCAATAATGTTCTGGTATATGGAAATAGCACTGTTGAGGCAAGTTAACTACGAAAAAAACCTCTCTACGATAGATGTACATGCATCCAATCAACATGAGGTTCTACATCAGTGTGTCTAACATATACTCAGTCCATGATTGATTGGTTATATATACAATCGTGTCTGAAATACTCTAACAAATAGACAATATGGCTGGAGCTGTCTGCAGCGGAGACTGCATCGTATAAGCCCACCTGCCTTGTTCTTTTCTTATTGAGTCAAATCAATTTAAAGATTTGTACATTGTGACATATCTCGATAGCACAGAAGATTCAGGGTATCTGCACATTGTTGCCATAACATATGTTCGTTCATGTAATAATCCAGCAGATGAATGTGGTTATGAAGTTTATGGTTAGTCTTAATAGACTTAAAGTGTAGGATTGGGGTCTGAGTAGGCTGTGAAAGAATTGTACGCATTAAGGATGAAATCTAATATAAAAACCCCAAATAATGTACAATGTACATTACTAGGAATTTACATGAAAATTCAGGTTTACCTTTAATCTTCTCAAGTCTGAACTGTTTGAGGAGACTTCGTATATAACACACAATGCCTTTTTAAAACGGGATGATAATACTGTCCTGTTTTTTTGGAGTATTTTTAAGGATCAAAATTTCTCCTTTGAAGATCTGTAACTAAATTTGTTATCAAGGTTAAGATGGATAATCATAAAACATAATATTGAAAAACAAATCTTAATCTCTTTATTATTAATGATCATGTATTAAAACACTAAAAACTAAAGTAAGTTCAAATATCAGGGAACT